TAACACCTAATATATTTCGTTCCCACCCAGAGAAATCAAAAGACAGAGTCGAGGAGATCGGAAGAGTGTATTTGGCGATTACCAATATATCGGAATTCTCTGATCTAATCTGGCTAGCGATTGCGGTAGATGTTGAGCACGGCGTTACCACACGTGATCTGGTGCGGATGCATGACCGAGCGCCTTCAGCTAGATGAGTCCACTAAAACATATGGTCAGCATCCAATGTCGAAAACTTAGAGCTATTTATTTTGGGGATTTATTTACCGCTACAACATGTTACCGACTAACTGGACAGTATTCCAGAAAATTGAGAATAAATAAGTTTATATGATGGCTAATACAAACCCCGATATCCAGCAAAAATATTAAAACCTATGTATGTTTGAACAAAAGTTGATATATTTGTCAAATGAACATTTATACTGAAGCAAAAAACTACTGAAAACTTCTACGCTTTTAGATAAAGGACGGAAGAACATGCTGCTTAGAGAATGAAACTTAAACAATACACAATCATCTTACACTGAAAATGACCAGGTGATCTGAGAAATCTCAGTAACTTGATTAGAGTGCAACTGCATACTACTATTGATTTAAATATTTAGCAAGTGACATATTTGAGAATGTCTTCCTTCTGGAACAAAAACCCACAGCTACCATAAAGCATGCAACAAAGGTCATTTTCGTGACAACAAAACATAGCTTTTATGTCCCAGTTGTAATTCCTCAGTCTAAATGAGGTGTTACTAAGCTCTATAGTACTGTTTATCAGCTTGTGCGGAAGTGTATTAAAAGCAGACGTTAATATGTATCATTGATTTATTTATTTGAACACAAATATTAGTACAAGAGGGCACCAAATATATATGCTCCAAACAATATGTAAAGTAAAAACTGATGGTTCGTTTAACTAAAAAACGCTAGTGAACGAAAGACTGCAGAAAAGGTGTCTTTCATAAACGTATACAAAACATGTATATGAGACTACTAAAGAGTGGAACGGAGCGACTTTCACATGACTGAATAATTAACATGAAACTGGAAAGTTATGAACCCACAAATCTTGAGTCACAAGAAATGAAAGACATGGATGCATAATATCAAGTATATGGTAAACTGAGACAGATAAAATAATCTATGTGTGGAAAACAATTTATATGACGTGAAATCCACTGTGAAAATATCTCATTCACCAAGTAATTGGGTATGGAACACACAATAAGTATGAAAAGTATCGAAACAACATCGTTGTTAAAACTGAAAAAATAAACGGGCATGAGGTGTATAAAAAATTAGGTATTAGAAAACAGAGTGGGAGCTTTGACGACACTTATTATAAAATGCAAACCTGCTAAAACTTAAACAATTGATATTCGTTTAAACAAGCATGAAAATGTTTAGTTTACTTTTAGCATTTTGTCCCGTAAAACATCGTACTTACTAGATTTTTTCACCAATTTGGAAAGAATCAGTACAATTTGTGTCCTAAGGACCCTGTCGTTGAGAAACTAAGAATAACGGTAATATTAGTATGATACTTGAAGTGCGAAGGAAAAGTCACTAACGTAAGATTCATATTCAAAGAGCATTTTCCGACACTTATCTATAATCAGCATAATAAATAATACGCACAAAATAATGTCATACTACTCGAAGATAACAGTGGGCTGATTTTTTTAACGTTTGCTCTCAAAAACTGCAAATCCTCCTCCTTACATTTGACAGCATTTACCTCGGAGCAGTAAGAGGCAAACAAACTCATATAACCTCTCAGCTTTTCTTCCATAATTATGTCAAGAAGTCAAACACTCGGTTGACATCATTTCAAAACTTTGCCCCAACTACGACCTGAGACTTTGAAGAACTAAAACAAACCTTACGCATTCTTATGAAGAGAATTACAGAACCTTGTTGACTGCAGATAATCAGCTTTAAAAGAAATGAAAACAGCATTCTACAGAGTGTATTACTGTTTAGAGATATAACATATGTAAAATAATGTTTTTATAATATGTCAATGGAATCCGTCGCCAAAATGGTTCAAATGGCTGTGGACGGAATAGAAAAAGCTTTCGCTTAACAGGCTTCCGTATCTAGTAGCAAGGAATCACCAAATCCTCCAAGCAGGAACCTGGGTATGTTAACAATAATGAGGAAAAAGAAATTGGTAAACCATAGTATGATCCTGTCCTTGGTCCTTAAGAATAGGTCAAGTTGACTCTTGAAGGACTCCTGGGAAGTCGCCTAGACTATCTCGGCCGGCAGCGAGTTCCAGTATTTGACAACTCTTAATGAGTAGAAGCGATGTTGCTAAGTTGTGTCTGCAGTTTCTGGGTGTAACCACTTAGGTTAGTGTTCGAACTAAGCTTAAGAAGTGTTTAAGAGGATGTCCAGAAGTGTTGAGAATACTATAAGCGATCAATAGATCACCTCTAAGATGCCTATACTCTAATGGGTAAAGGTTAAGTGATTTGAGGCGCTTATCATAAGGCTTAAATTTGAGCCCCCGAACTGATTTCGTGGCTCGCGGTCAGATACTCTCCAAAGTGTCCTTATCCTTTTGGAGTGAGGAGGGAGTACTATGTTTCTGTACTCTAAATGGGGATGGATAAAACTATTGAAGATTATATGGAAAGTTCTTCCGTCAAACTGGCAGAAAATGCCCTTCAGTGTTACCAGTGCGAGGTTCGCTCGCAAGGCATTTTTGTTACAGTTAGCATGAGACGTTAAATCGTAGGGCACCAGGACTCCTAAATCTTTTTCGACTCGGAATACTACTAGAGAGGAGTTTCCTAAGTCATAACTGTAGTCTGCGACATGTCGCAGACAGAGTACTTTACAATTTGAAGTGTTAAAAGTAAGTCCGTTATCGTCTGCCCAACTTTGAAGTCGAGTCAGATCCTCCTGAAGTGCCTGTATATAATCTTGATTGCGTATCTCTCTCTAAAGTTTAACATCATCAGCAAAGAGTAATAACTCCGACGTTACCTGTTGAGGAAGACCATTTATGTAGATCAAGAAGAGAAAAGGTCCTAGTACTGACCCCTGGGGGGACCACACTAGGACATTCCATAGCCTGAGATAAAGTGAAATTAACCCCAACCTTAAAGTGTCGATTTTTCAGGTATGAAGTAAGTCAATCGATTAGAGGTGGTCTGATACCTAGTCGTTTGAGCTTATTGATAAGACACAAATGGTTAACCTTATCAAAAGCTTTTGAGAAATCCAGGTAGAAGGTATCAATCTTTCCCTTGCTATCGAGGATGCTTGTCCATCTATACACCGCAGTCAGCAGGTTGGTTATACAACGGTAGACCTTCCTGGAACCATGCTGTTGGGGTGAGAAGGAATTTCAGGACAGTAGATAGTCGTTTAAACCGTCGCACATCGGGGACACTATGAGTTGTGAAGGTAATGACAGAGGAGCCACCGGCCGATCAAGCAACGTAAGATTTAGATCCAAGAGATTAGCTATCGCTAATGTATTTTTGTCCGAAACTATGAAGGTACTCAAGTCTTGTTTTTTATGGGTTTTTAATTGATCTTCAATGTCGTATCTCCTTTGCAGAGATGCTGAAATGTTTATTCCTTGGGATCTCAGACTGATACTTTCATAAATTTGGTAATTAGAAAAATATATCATTGACCTTACGTCGGTCATCTATGCATGATGCAAAAAAGCTGAGGGAGCGATTGAAGGAATTCGGATTGAATGGAAGGAAACTAGCAAAGTATATTTAGATCATGTTAATACCTTAGTCTCTCCATGTTTAAATACAAGTATTTCTAGCTTATGGAGATGTGAACTTCTTTATTTATAAGCACTAAAGTACCGATTATAATTCATCGGACCATTGCAGAAAGAAGTTACTTAGTTCTCCGCTAAGGTCGGTAAAACTGCACATATAAAGTGTAGAGAATCTTCAACATACTCCATGAACCCAGACATGAAAAAAACCATAACTCAACAAGCACATAACGGTCGTACACCATGTCTTACGAGTATTCCAGGTTAGAGTTCATCCTGGGCAGAGCAAGGTTGAAGTACTTGCTTTATTCAAGGATTTTTTTGTATTCTTTCTGTCTTTATGCATCTTATGTGCATGAATAAAACCTGTATTTCTAAAATACCATGTTATTCAACTACTGACGTTAAAAAGGCTAGTCAATAAAAAGTACATAATACTACTTTGACGCACGCTGTCGACTCTAGTTAAGTGATAGCAGTTGTGTGATTCCAGGTGTACACATTATTGTAAAGTCTACATCTAATCGCATTTTGAACACTAGTTCATATATGCTTTCATCCAGTGTTACAAAAAAAGCGAACACACAAAACTCCGAGGTCTAGTAATCTATTGACCCAGCAAGTAATACGATTTCTCAATTACTATAGATCAGGTGAAGATTATGAAAATTGGATGGAAATAAATATGATGTCATGAGAGGTTGTTCGAGACCACACGTGAAAAAGTGACAACGGCACCTTAGTGCAGAATAACTGGGATGACTAAAACAAATACTAAACGTAGGTGCGTATCAATACATACCTGTACATGACCATGGACTACTATCAGTAAGGACTAGACCTTGCTCTTATTAGTCCTGTCTGTAAAGTATCTTGGGATATGAATAAACATAGTACATCTTCGAAAATACCAGGATAATGAAAACAGATGTCGTGTTTTCAGCCAATGTTGGAAGGTTGTGAGTAAAGCACACATGTCCCTACTTACAGCACCGAACTAAAATTTTGGACAAAGAAACAGAGAGGAGTAGGTGGCCATCAACTAACGAAAATCAGTTTTCATCACTTCAAGCATTATATTGAACAAAAACAGAAACCAACGAGTTTATGATCCAGACACCCCGAAAAGAAATTTACCCAACTCCTACTAACAATCATCACTTGATACAAATATAAATAAGGATTTTATTGACAATCTGAAGTATTGTGCGAAAATATGTGAAGCAGTACACGTTCGGCGTAAAAAAAATTAACAAGAGTTTGGAGCAGGTACAGATGAGGTTGGCTTCAACTTCATAGCATGTGAACGACCAAGTTGGTAACCTGCTTCATACCAGGAGCGTAGTATAGGTTCAATAGTTGATAGGCCACTTTTCGTGCTATTAAAGATTGGTTGAGAAGGAACAGAAGGTTGAACATCACTAGGAAGATGACTGTCCCTACATGAGTGAAAACAGAGAATTGTAGACCTGTATAACAAACGTTTCAAAATAATTTTAACATATGATAATTATAATCCAAGTATACACTAAACGGTAGGATTTGAGATAACTTTACTAAGTGAACGTGAAAAAAATATTTCGTTTCAGAAAAGCATGACAATGCGACTATTACATTTTTCTATGAAACTATTTTTTGTCAAACTAGACAATTGGAAGTGGTGAAGATTTCTTCTCTTCGACCCGCCAAACGAATGTGAATCCTAATCAAAGTTACAAATACTATTCCTAGGGGTCAGTGACAATAATGCATATTCGCATATTTTTTAGCTTTTTAATTACGGTCTTCAGAAATAATATTCCATGTGATTACTTAATTTCCGCTTCGTTTATGGTTGAGATAATGATTTTAAAAGAGCTCAGGATGTGAAACTACGCAATTGTTCCATAGTTGCAAATTTATATTTCTACTTGTTTGTTTCGATTACTGCTTATCCGTGTACAATATATTAGCCTGTCGTACGGCATAGGAACTGTGAATTCATTTCTCAATGTTCGAATCGTCAATATATGAAGGTGACATGATATAATTAGTTGAAACTGATGAAAAGACCAGTAGTTTTACAGCAGCATTTTTCGCGAGAATATCTAAGTTGAAAAAGATTGTCACACAACACAGTACACATAAGCAGCACTGGGGAAAACTGAATTTCAACTCCATTAGTTAGCTTTCTCATTAAGCTTGATATGGTGTGCGCTAATGAGTTGATCAACAAGTTGTGGTCAATAGGCAATCTAAATAAATAAATGTCAGCAAAATGTAGTTCTGACTTATAAGAAAGTCCTTGATAGCTTTTGTTATAATCTCTGGTTTCTTACGGTTAATGACCCAGCTATTCCTATTGCTTAGTATTCTCGGACACCGATTCACTCGACAAGTCCCCAAATCAGAACACGGTTGAACAGGAAAAAGATTATATTCCAAATAGCAAGTCAGAAGCCAGTAGGAAGCACAATAGGGGAAAACGTCAGTATATTTATAGTTTTTACATAAGAAGAATCCAGAATATTCTCCAACTATCGACTAGCGCTGATTGGATAAGAATTAGCCAATCAGCGTGCACCAAAGCAATCATGCATTGAGCATGCTTTAGTCTAGTCTATGTCCCGCTAACACCTCCCCTCTGAGCAGATTCGTAGGATCTGGTGCTAGGGTCCAACTGCAACTGAGTGACTGGCTTGTGCTTTCGATTAGTCCATCGTCTAGGCAATGAAGAATTATCACTTTTTCCTTGCACAGAGACTGACATGTCTGTTCCCGGCGTTTTGATTTTCTTAAAAAAAAGTATGCATAACTTTTAATTCTCCAACATTCTCCTCCTCCTCGAAATAATGTTGGGTCCTTATGGCTCCAAATTATAACTAGTAGGACTTTATTTAAACCATGTTTCTCGTATTGACTGGAGAATCCACTAAAAATGACTAGATGATGATGAACAACCTTTGATCTGAGTTCATTATTTTCAAATTCATTATGAATCTCGTTAGCTGATAACGAGTCATTAAGAAAGTCAACGTCTAACAGAATTAGATTAGATTTTTGGCCATCATTCGACTCAGCTGACATATTCCCTCATTGTTATAAGAAGGTTCATCAAAATCATATGCATTATTCTGAGAATCAATATCTGGTACACTGTCATTAGAAATGGGATAAGTTGACTTAATATAAAATTCTGTCTTCCGGTGATTTTGAGTTTGCGTATTAGAAGTTCGGTACTTTTCTGGTAACGACGGATTTCTCGGAGTGCAACGGTTCCAGGTCTGTACCTATGTGGCTTCTTCACACCCCCGGTAGCTGGGGCACTTTTACGCGCAGCCTTGGTGGCCAGCTGCTTTCGGGGTGCCTTACCTCCAGTTGATTTGCGAGCAGTTTGCTTAGTTCGTGCCATTCCGAAACACCGAGAGACGATGACAAGTCCCCAAATCAAAACACGGTTGAACAGGAAAAAGATTATATTCCAAATAGCAAATCAGAAGCCAGTAGGAAGCACAATAGGGGAAAACGTCAGTATATTTATAGTTTTTACATAAGAAGAATCCAGAATATTCTCCAATTATCGACTAGCGCTGATTGGATAAGAATTAGCCAATCAGCGTGCACCAAAGCAATCATGCATTGAGCATGCTTTAGTCTAGTCTATGTCCCGCACTAAAATTTGCCACTATCTGATCGGTCACCATTTCTGACAAACAGTTTGTCATCATCACTTCTGGTAAACAGAAGACAATAAAATTGGCTGACACAGGATATTACGGAAGAGGAAAATGTCCACGGAATGTTCTCGTGGAAACTAGGCACTTGTGACTAATAAATGATTTTACTAAGGGTTTATATGCCAGAGAGTATTTCTCTGAGCAATGATGTCTATCAGCACTTATGTTGTTGGTCACAAATCTAATTTCAAAGCACTAGTTAGATCTCTGAAAAATTCAAAATCATGTCTACAAGTTTCAATCAATATCTTAATAATGTGCAAATTGACATTAGAAATAGGTCGTTATTTACTATATGAAACAGAATAGAACTTGTTTGGGTGAGCCCTTTATTTAGTTCAATGAAATGGGTGTTTCTCTAAACAATTATCGAAAGGTTGGCAAAAGTTAATTTGAATATAAAATACAATAATTGGTTGAACGAAATAGAGATTTGTACAAAATACCTTGGTGAAGCCAAATTAGAAAATAATTGAGGCGGAGGTTTTAAACACGGCGGAATCCATTGGAAGTCACAAACTGGATTGCTATTGACAATGAGTGGTTGAATATTCGCTAAGCCGACATTTTCTCCATGAATATCTTTATTATGGTGTACCTGGATGACGAAAATACACAACGATAGTCTTCCATGTTGATTCTTTCGTTTTGTTTTATTCAAATTAATCAATCACAAAATTTGTGCGCAATAATAAAGCTTCTTAACTTACGGAATTGTAATATATATATATATATATATATATATATATATATATATATATATATATATAATGGTATTTATGTACCAAGCCCAGCTGACCATCAGAGTCGGGCACGAGACATGTCATTGGTTAAATATGACGCAAACTTCTACACGACATATATGTATGAGTCTTTGTGTAGGTACATTTGGTGTCGCTGCCAAGAAGGAGGAGGGAGGGTGTTGTTCCGCAGACGCCGTTGTGGGCCTGGATCTGAGGTACCAGTTTGGGCGGTCAGGTGCGGAGAAGTGACGTCGTGTGGAGTGTTCTGGCGGGGCGGCGTTGGTTGTGACGGGTGCTGTCGACGTAGACGTGCGGCTGTCGGGTGGACATCGAATGTAGATGGCTGAACAGGTCGCTGGAGGGGAGGCGTTGAACGTTCTAGGTGCCGGGTGGATATCGGATGTAGTTACCCCGGCAGGTCGACGGAGCTATGAAAGTCAGAGCGCCGTAGACTCGAAATTTTGACGGCGAGCGTGGCACAGACTGCAGAAAAGAGGGATGTGGTACGGTGAGCAGAACCAGTGCAAGGATGGCAAATCAATTGATGAAGTAGTGAAACTTCATCAGTTGAGGTGGTTGGGACACGTGTTACCTATGCCCGACCAACGACTGCCTCGACGTGCGATGTTCAGTGGTATAGGAGTAGGTTGGAAGAAAGCTAGAGGCGGCCAAACCAAAACATGGCACAAGTCCATGAAGTCACTGACAAGTGGACTGAGTCATGTTGGTAGGTGTAGACTACCTGGTTGGGGACCACGAGATGATAGCAACCGATGGTTAGAGACCCTGAATGACATGGCTCAAAATCGTTTGCAATGGCGCAGGTGCATCCACTCTTTGTAATCTCCTAAATTCTAATCTTCTGAATTCTTCATATCCCTTGTTTTTTTTCCTCTTTCCAAATTTATTTCACTGGATTATACTCTTTAAATAACATCTTCAAGCCCTAATCTTCCCGATTACCGCTTATACTCTTGCTACATCTACCACTACGGGATTTGAATCGACAACTGCATCTCTATGCTAAGGTGGTGTGGCAACTCGAACTGATGTACGTACGTACGAAGTTTTACGTTGTTAATGACTAACTGACTGACTGACCAGTGCAAGAACGAATGTTTTAAAGTGAGGACGAGTGTGGTATGAGCTACTTACATCCTCATAAGTAGTATATAACGATGGTCAATGATAGAATATATTTCAGTAAAAGATCCAGAAGGAAAGAACGGGAACAGAAAGCAATTGGCATATATATACGGCAAAATATGATTAAACGAAACGTAACAGACCTTCGATTTATTACACGTACTGGATGAATTTTTATTTAAATTTTTATGGAAATTGTCACTGATTCCATAGGACTTGTGTTTTGCATTTTTATTCAGTTCTCTTGTTAATTTATCCTAAAAAAAAGTAAAATAAATATGAAAAATACCAAAACAATTTAAAGATGAATTTGCTTCTTTATAAAAGTGATCAAGTTAGTTGTAGTCAACTAAAGCCTAATACAAGTGTTGTATATATCCACTTAAGTTCCCGTACTACATTAGCTCAACAACAAAAGTGATAACATGAATAGCAAAAGAGTAGAAATAATGGAGTAACGATCATAACAATAATAATAAGAAGGACTAAACAATGAGAATAAAGTTTGGAAAGAAGGTATGAATGAAGAAATAGCAGAAATCAATCAATCTAGCGTGACTCTGAACAAATGATTTGTATTTACCTACAAGAATCAGTTCAATAATCAATCACTTGATACATCTAAGTCATGTTATGATTTACCTACAACTACTTATCTTATAATCTATTACTATTTTAGATAAAACTGCATTGAAGCAAGCGTTCACTGAGTATTATATTCGATGAAGGTTGAAGGAATGGTAGCGTACAAGATTAATTTAAGGATTACTATTATATATATTCTTTATATCATGAGCTTTCGATTGACACACTAACTATGGTTATATGATTTACTATCGTTAATCTGTTGCCAGTTTGTTATTTACAATCTTCTCTATTCCCAGACGTTTGATCATGTGTAATTAATAATTTTCATTTTAAGGCATGATGTGATCGGATATATCTGTATATAAACTATGTATATTTGAAGTAGAATATTCGTGTTTTAGGGGTTGATTATTGATTCATCGACTCCAATACAAGGCAAAAAAAAGGTTAGAGAATCGTGAACCAATTTCAGAACTCAGTTGTTGGCGCTGTAGTAAACGGATTCCAAATAGCGTTTTCGTCATGTGATATTAGACAGTGGGTCATAACAATAAGACCAAGTGGTTGATAAATCAAATTAAACTTTTAACCATTTGACAACCTAAACAGAATTCTATCAGCTAAGTAATATATGATGCGATCATCCTATGTGAACTAGTTCAAGTTCAACAATAAAACTCATCAATTATATTTGGTCATTTACCAATGATGATACATCCTTATTCGAATCAAAGTAACACCTAATCGTTTTGAATCACACGTTTCATTTGTTTTGCAAAAAGATTACAATGATATTCAATGTAGATTTTAAAAGATGTCTGTAATTTCAAAAAAATATATAAGTATACTGATGACTGAATGGTGAAGGCATTCGGTTTTTAAATATTAGACTGTAGGTTTTGTTGGGAATGTTAAATTATTTGATTTTACTTATTTAAACACATAAACATTGGTACAACGAGGCATCAAACAGATATGCGCCACATAAGTCATTCGATTTGTGTGTGGGATATGATACTGCTTGGGTGCCCAGACCGAAGTAGGTGGTTTTCTTAAGGGACCACACCCAGAGCCTTTGACCTAAAGGTCTAATCCACAAGGAAATGGAACAACGTCACGAGATGCAGTCCCATGGTAGCCAGTGATCAACAATAGGTTCAAACACCATTTGTCCCTTCAAGATACTGGATCCCATGTGCACCAGTGGTTTGGAACCAGGGATTTCCAAAGTCCCTAGGTGGATCCTCCATATCCACCAATCCGGTTGAAGCCTTTGTCGGACATTCGCTTTTCGTCCTCTCTATTTCGTAAACAACACCCATGATGCGAGAAGGCAGTGAGTAGAACTTCCCTGGCAGTGGTTGTATGCACGCGGCCACTTGAGAGCATTTCGAGAGGGAGAGCTGACTCTCCCTACTCTCGGCCGTACCAAGGCATTTGGAGGTAGGAATGTTAAATCCCCAGAACTGATTTAATAAATGTCTTAGTTTTGCAATTTTATATTGTAAATTTGAATTTCTTGTTTTCGCGTCAAAGGCACCCGTTTTCACCTTCATGTAGTATTTCCCACTTGGGAGGACTTTAAATGTCATTGGTTCGTTGTCTCTTTTAATATGCTATTTTGTATCGTTTCCCTAGGACATTTTTATGCTGTATATATACGCTTGATTTGTGCTTGTCGTTGTCGTTCGTGCTCCTGGCTGCTTGTGGAATATACTTCCCTATTCTGAACTCGAACTTCTTTCTCTAGTCAGCGGGACTGGGACGTATTGGAATAATTAGCTGATGTGATCATTGTGTCACTGAGTATTCGTTCTGTCCGCAAATTAGGAGAACTCGTGATTACATCAATCATAGCAGGTTTGAGTTCCACTCTACTCTACCCATATCAGTTTAGGCAAATGAGGTAGCATTGCTGGACTTAAAACCACCGAGATTAAGTCCCTTGAAGGTCCAAATATACAAACATGTACTTGATGAATAAATTCCATAGGTAATGCAGTATTATCGTGACGACGACAAAAAAACGTGATTGGAAATAAACAACTCTGTGAAAAACATATCGTCAATATAGAAGTGGAAAATCGTTTACCTGAACAAGAGACTCAATTCTATCATATTCAGCAATTAAATCTTTATCATCCCAACATGCTTCGTCGTCTGAATTAACATCCACTAATGGCCAGATCTGCTTATTACTGACGTTGGGAGAATCCATGAAGACCATTAACAAAAACGATCTGAAATGAAAAACAGTCTTAATATTCTCTCAGTAACTATAATGATTTCTGTTTAAGTGAGGGGATACAAATTATAGAAAATATATTGAACTGAGACAAATAACCCATTACGTCATAAGTAGAGTAAATTCACAAGATTCAATAGATTGGAAAGAAGCACTAGGTCGGTGTCCAGTAGTTTGAATTTCTAACTTAAATTAATTTGCGACACTGCATAACTATCGTTCAATGTCACTGGTGAGTATTTGTCTTACACTCTACATTAATAGGGAAGCCCACTAGAAATCCGTGAATTACTATCAAAAATTAGTTACTAGTGCGCACATGTGTTATGACGATAAAGTACTTAGGAAAACTGTTGAATTATGGACTGATCTAAGTAAAATGACTAGGTTTTAATAGACAGCTGCTTAGTCTTAGGATCAAACTATTCATTATTGTGAACCTATGACCCTACCAGTGATCGAACCACGGAATTTCAAAACTATGTTGTAAAGTCAATAGATGATGCATGATTTTACAAGGTACGGAAAAGAGCATCCTTTTTTAATCTTCAATAAAACTGCATTATAGCATTTACGAGCATTTTTCCGTTCATTTCGTGCATCAGTGTTGCATACGAGTGCAGTTCTCACTACTAGTAACTACATTTTGATAATCTGAACCTATCTACATATGTCTTCTGTAAATACACCCACTGTAGACAATCTCAACGTACAAGTTAGAGCTTGAAATGAAATTCTCCATGAAAATTTTCCTCTTATGCGTCATTACATAAACGAAAAAAGTGCTAGATATATCACTCACATATTGAATAGTGACAAGTAGATAGGCTACAAATTCAAAGACATAGTATACTATCTCTACAAGTAGCCCTATATATACATCTCACAATAATGAGAATTGAATAAACATATATCAAATGTAATCAACTTCAGGATGCTTTACAGTTCAATAATAGAAGTCAAATTGGTTTAACAATATTTAACGAACAAGGTTGGTTTTCAGCCCATTAATTATAATGAACTATCAGTCTGATACCGAATTCGAGTCTGTTCAAGTTCTCAGGTTAAACTGAAATGCCGACACAAAACTAGCATGATGAATAGTAATAAAGATCGAAATCATGTAGTAGTAGTAGCAATGATAATAAAGATGATTGAGAATATGATTCAATAAGATGAAATGAAAAGAATATTGAAACTGAAGATCTAAAGTAAGATAAAGAAAGAGTGATTGAATCTACGCAACCATAATCGATTTTAAAGCACATCCATTCGCGATTGATACCATAGTTTGTCATGAATTCACTAATGGATAACTTCAATAGTTCAGTTAAAGGATTACAGACAACATGAGTGTTTTGATAAGCTAAAAAGAAGCATTAGGTACAAGCTTGACAAGATGGATCATGAAATATGTAACGAAATTAGACATTGAATAGTTAATTATCCATCTGAATATACTACTTAATTGATGAAATAGACACAATATGTATAATCCAAATATTATTATATCAATCCAATTCATATTTACTAGAATATGGGCTTAAACACACTGAAGATTTTCAATTATTATCACTAAACAACAATTTTGTGCACTACTACTAACAAGTAATTTGAACATCTAGTAAGATATTGGGTTGATGTACGAATTCAATGGTATAGAGAAACCTTATGCATATGGTCAAGTAACAACTCCACAATCTAATGTTTGACTTTTTATCACAATGTGAAAACAAACATTGGAAAACTCAACATCAATCATCAGGAAAAAGTACATTAACAAACCTCCATTCAACAACAAGTTAGTCATGTTGACTGTTCATCTTACTAGAGATGAGTGGTAAATGGAGATATGAAATGTTGTGAATTGATTGAAGGTTGAGGTTTTGCTGGTCCAGTGGTTCAAAGAGTAAACATTTGCAGTCAGACCAAAGTGGATGAGTATGGGTTGAGGAGTCCTATACTAAGACCAAAACAACTTTCCAGTGATTATATTTTTTAAGCGCTATCTGTCTAATTTAAGTCGGTTCGTGGTATTATTAATCACATTCAATAATCACCACAAACCCCCTGAATAGATAGACAATTGCAAAATTGCATTTCACAAACTAAAACTATGAATTTGAGATATTTCTGAGTTATTATCTTCTACGCTATCCAATTTTGCAATACCAGTAATTAATAAGACTCATTTGGCTTTGGGTCATTTAATGATACAACTTAGTGAGATTCGAAATTGCGACGTAATGATTAAAAGTCAATTTCTTCAACTACTGACTTATCATTCAACTACAACTTTATCATCATGCTCATATAACCAACACAATTTTCTTTTTACTATTATTATTATTAATCAACTTAAATATACACCACACAACCACACACACACACACACATCGATAAATGAATTCACTAAAAACACAAACAATAACTGTAAAAAATTTAGTTACTATTAAAAGAAGAAGAATAAGACGATAGAATAACTTCTTTTATTACTAATCACCATTGTTTTCCTTTTTTCTTCTTAAGTAACTATGTGTAGGTATCTATGCCTATAGAAATGTACATCATACACAATAGAAAACTACACATCAATTCTATATAGTTTACAAGTATTCAATCCAAAATGATGATTAGATAATGAAATGAAAACAATTTGATGATGATGATAATAATAATACAAGAAAGAAGCTAATATCAAGTGATTAGAAATAAGTTGAATAACAAAACTAAGAAGTAAGAAAGTGAATAAAGAAGACAAGAGAAGAGAAATTCGAAAGTAAAAAAGAAAAGAAAAACAAACAGATATTACATACAAAAAATGTGAATAAAGAAAAAAAAGAGGAGAAAATTAAAAAGAAAAAGTAACATTTTTCCTGATGATTTAGATATTAGTCATACTCTTATTATGAAATACTATCCGGTTGACCAAAATCGAAAGAATGAAAATAAAGAAGGACTCGAACAAGGAGTTCAACTGGATGAAAGTCGAATGTTTTTAACAAACGTGTTTCAACTATAAAAAGTACCATTCAATAAAGTAATAGAACGAAAAAATGACAAGATATGTTTATTGTATTCAGTTATGATTACAAAATTAATTTATTCTACAAGAATGAAACAAAAAATAGTGAAATAGAGAGAGAAAGAGAATTGAAGATGATCAATAAACATATAATCGGATACAATTCTCATTGTCTCTTTATTTACCACCCCGCCCCCGAAAGATACTACTATTATTGCTGATAGTAGTATTACTAATTAAATAAAATAAGAGAAAATCAATTAGATAACTATGTGTATTGTATTAATAATACTTTAAGGTAATCAATCATGATGTAATTTCAATAATTGGGATCAATAAATCAATTGTAATTAGATCATCATGAGAAAAACTTGAAAGTACTGGATGGTTGTTGTTTTGTTCTATTGTGGAACTCCAGTGCTTTGATGGTCTATAGTTTCAATGGATTTATGATCGCAACTATTGAAATTACTAAGAATATCCACACAGAAACCTTGTCTGATACTAATCATTATTGATTGGAATTCATGTATTTTTTAATATTCACATAAGTAACATACAATGTAGAGTATAAGATAGAAATGAAAATGTAGAAAAAAATGCTAATAGTCTTTGTACATATATATATTATCTGTTGAATTTATTCAATAATAACAATGATTAATATACAATGGATTGAATTTTCACGTCACTAGATGAAGCTGATGCTGATGCTGCTGCTGACGATGATGATGATGGTTGTGAAGGAATTTCAGTGATTAGATTATTATTATTGCTGTTGCAGCAGCAGCTGCTGCTGCTGCTACTACTACTAGTATTACCATTATAACAAGACTGTAAATTAGATGTTGATAGATTATCAGTAATCGATACATTCGATTTATTTCTAGAAGTTGATAATAAATTAAATTGTTTGCGAAAACGATTATTAGATTGTGTTAATACTTTTCTAGATGGTGTTATTATTGGAGTACGTGGAATAGCACGACGACGTAAAGATATTCTACCATATGGAAAATCATTTTTTTGTAAACATGGACTATTTGGTGCTGATTTTGACAAAAGACAATCTATAATATGAAGAATAGAGAAAACAATTATAAGTTGGATAATAATAATAAAATGTTAGTCAGTCAGTCAATAACAACGTAGGACTTCTTACGTACATACATCAGTTCAAATTGCCGTACCACGTTAGCACAAAGATACAATTGTCGATTCAAATCCCACAGTGATAGAGATAGTAAAAGTATAAGCGGTAATCGGAAACATTGGGGTTTGAAGATGTTATTCAAGGAGTATAATCCAGTGAAATAAATTTGGAAATGGAAAAAACAAGGGACATGAAGAATTCAGAAGATTAGAATTTAGGAGAACACAAAGAGTGAATGCAGTTGTGCCATTGCAAACGATTTTCAGTCATGTCATTCAGGGTCTCTAACCATCGGTTGCTATCATCTCGCGGTACCCAACCAGGTAGTCTACACTTACCAACATGGCTCAGTTCACTTGTCAGTGACTTCAAGGACTGATGCCACGTTTTGGTTTGGCCACCCCTAACCCTCTTCCAACCATCCCCAATAATACTTAGCATTGCGCGTTGTGGTAATCGGTGTTCAGGCATACGTAACACGTGGCCCGACCATCTCAGTCGATGAAGATTCACAAACTTATCAACTGACTTACCAACATTCCCTAGTACACTGTGTCTAACCTTACTATTGCTTACCCGGTGATCCCAGCTTTAAGCAAACAATATAAATATAAATATAACTAATGACATGAAAAATAATGAATTATGTGAAAATAGCGTAAAATGTACACTCTGAAAAACCATTTTAAAGAAAAGAATATTAAAGGTAATTTGAACAATTTGGATTGTGGCTAGTGGGATCTAACTGTTAGGTTACAGATCCGAATCCTGTTTCATTTATTCCAGTTCAGGTAACCGGGTAGTTTCACTAGCTATCATGCATAAAGTGTGGCTCATAGTACTATGTGCAGGGTTCTGTGCTTGGTGAATTGCATGGAAAAATATTAGTGTGGATGAAAACACAAGAAAACGATATATAGTAATCGCATAACAACAATCATTAAACAAGTCACCTTTATTATCGGCATTCATAATAGAAGTAATAGGCCAACAAGTATTTGATTTCGCATATTCAAACTCATTGGGGACTTCAGATAATTGCTTAACACTTGAACTGGACTTAGTCACATCGCAAACAACAGGATCTACTGTTAAGATATGCTTAAGAATGCTATCAACATTTTTTGGATGATTATTTCTCATCTCCATGGGAAAATTATCACCGTCACATGATCCTGTGGTATCAGCTGAACGTGATCTTCGTCGATGAATGATTATTGTCACAGATTGAGAATCCTTATTGATATTATTATCATTGTTATTAATTACTGAAATATCCAATAATGAATCATCATTTAAAATTCCAGTTGTAAAACATGATCTAGGTGCTTCAGGAATATCACTAGTTGTAATATAATTATTATCCTGTGAAGCAAATTCTGTAAGTGGAACTTTTGGAATATACATCGGAACTGATTGTTTACTAAGGGGTGTTTGTTCGTTATTTGTAAATCGATTCCGATCACGAGTAGATTTTGGAGTGTTATTGGGTGATTCTTCATCTGGTGACAACGTC